GACTTCAAATCTATCTTACATAAGTACTTACACCCCTGCATGTGATACGCAACCTCACTCCCCGCACAACGTCTCGTACCCGTGAGAACGCCGATCGGAGTAAGCGGGGCACGACCGAGGATTTTGGGTGGGGGGATTGAACCGCCAAGGTGAAACCGGGGTCCTCGCCTTAGTCCCAAGGATACCTTGGGGAACACAAATTCGACAAAGGCAATAATAGAAATTGCAAAAAGGGAAAGATGCCGAATAAATTTTAAAAATTCCCTGGTTAGCAGGGATATTTTCGCAAAAGAAACAATTTCGTCAACGAAGAAAGTGTAAATAATCCAAAAAGACGAAAAAGCCTAATCTACGCTACATTCATGCCACCCTTTCGTGGGGATCAAGGAAGTAGGAAGCTTTGGAGCCTGTCAGATGAAACTGAATCGCCGGAACGGTCGGTCTCTTCGCTATTCAACGACGGATGGTGCGGGGGTAGCAGGACCTGGAAGCCCGTCGGAAGTGCACCCACGTGGCGGGAGAGATCCGGGAACTGAATGGACCCTTGGTACCCCAATACCATTCGTCGCCAGGAACACAAATGTTTGGAGCTTGCACCACATGCAATTAAACTGCGGGTTCAACGTGGCATGCGCAGCAGATCAGGGAAGCATAGTAAGATCGGTGTAATGCAGAATCACCTGGGGAGCATTAAAACAATCAATTAGCGCAAATCTCTCCCCGTCGATGTGGCTTGCCTTCGGCGGATTATAGAGGTGAACCCGACCGGTCCGCAATAGCGACCTCCTAACATCCGCGTTGCAGTAGACTCCCTCTTTGTTTGCTACATGGAACTTAGGGAAGCTGTTATGGCGAACTGATATGAGATTCGCGCACGAGCAGTTACCCGCGCTTACACTCAAACCGACAAACCTTGAGTCCATACAAATTTCAGTTCCAATCCTAGTTCCTAGCCATGACGCCCAAGCGCAACGTGAGAAAGAAAGCGATGATGACGACCCGAACAAAATTACCACTTCACAAAATGCCGACAACTTTTACAAAGGAGATCAGGCAATATGACGTGACTTTCATGCTCGATGTTCCTCGACTTCCTACCTTATACACGCACCAAGTGATTAAGCGGGTCGGTCGCTTCGCATCTGCGCGCAAGAGGCACGGGGATGACAGAAGAGGCAATGAGATGGTTTAACACTCGTGCTAAGCGCGGGGACTGTCGGATCAGTTAGAGCAAGGCGGTATCATCACACTCATACATCCACGTAGGTGGCTGAGATGAGTCCAATCAACGAGAGTGAGGACAACCAATTGACTTCCACTGAACCAGACATCCTCCTCATATGTGCATAGACTTTTTTGACAGCGAAGCATCATGAATCCATTTGGCACTCATGGCCAAAGTCATGCACACGACTTAGTACACATGGAAACAAACGAAGCAACAATGGAGAAAAACCAAAAGTCCTTCGCAATACAGCTTAAAACAACATCAATGCTGGCACTCCACGTGCATAGCCACCATATCCAACCAAAGGTGCGCCAACATAGCCACAAGTCCCTGCCAATGATCGCACCCTTTCTCCACCACCTTTCAGTCCCTCCAACTACGACTCACTGAAACTACCGCTAAGCTTACCCCACGCCGTCCTTGGGCACGTCGAGCCTGTTCGGCACCGCAGCCTTCGTGCATAGCTTGTGCATCACTGCAGTCGAGATCAAAGAGGCGGAAAGGAGAGGGCCACGCAAATTTATAGCGTGGAAGACCAACGTGTAATGCGGGGAAGCAGAGGGTGGTAGATGAGTTGGAGAGAAGGAAGAACGTTCCAGAAGGTCGATAAAGGCGGGAGGATTTAATTCTCACACAATTGGGGTGGCCACTAAATCCGCCTGCGTAAGTTTGCTCTTACGGCTTGATCCGACCAGCCGAACTGACGACCAATCACGTGCGCCAAAAGGGAATGAAGGAAGAAGGGGTGCCCATACACGAAGGAGGAGCAAGAAAAGAAGTTGACGCGCAAGCAAAAGCGGGAAGCTAGCTTGTGTGAGCGTGCAAGAATCCGAAAATGACCGTGCACGCATGCTTTGCAAAAAGAAATTAAAGTGCAGGGGCAACCAAAATTACAACCGTTTCTTTTGAAAATTCCTGTGCGGTCGCTACTCGGCCATGTGAGGCTAATCTGTGGAAAGACAAGGACAAATTTGAAAAATGCATGCAATTATCCCCAAAAGTTTGAGGCCTGACCCCATCCATCCATCTTCTCGTCGAGATAGGTGAGGCCATGATCTCACATGCACCCTATCCAAGAGGTCATCGATACGAGGTAGGGGCACCGTGTTCTTAACAGGGATGGCATTGAGGCCCGTATAATCAATGCATATCCTCAGCGTGCTCCCTTTCTTGGGAACAAAGAGTAAAAGTGCACCATTAGGGGACGCACTAGGCCTGTTCCAGCCCTTCTTTGTCAGCTTTTTCAGTTGTCGGCCAAACTCATCTAACTCCGCAGGCATCCTAAAGATTCTACCCCTCAGTACTTTGCTACTGAGGATAATCTCTATTGAGTCGACAACCTCTCTGTCTATGACTCCAGTTGGCTCTTCTAGAAGGTCTGGATATTTAGCGACGACTTGTTCCGTCTCCGGCGGGGTCTTGACGGCCTGCCCCTCCTGAGATACAAAGACTAAGTGCATGCCCTCCTCTTGGTTCTGTCTATAGTAATTATAGAACGCATGAGCGCACAAGCAGCCATAAGAGTCTAGGAGTGACTGCAAACCAGCCGTTTGACTAGAACCGGCACCTGCTGCTCCGCCTACAGTCTGACTAGCACCCGCTTGGGTGCTCTGACCTGATGCCTGTGTGCCGTGCTTCTCTACCAGCAGTGCACTGTATACTGAACCTGTCAGACTCCCTCCTAAACCCTCCCTTCGTCCCTTGCCTATAACTGCATGTGAACATAAGGAAGTCTATGGGCGGTTTGGTGTGTGATCCGTCGGTTGTCAACTAACTCATCCTCATCACTGCCTTCAGTGCTCATCAAGTAGCCACATTGTTTCCCTGCACTATAACTTATCTGTTTGTCCTTCCACGGATCTGAGGTGGGCCGGCTTAAAATAAATAAATACTGGTCCTTACTTCAGGCAAGAGGCCACTACGACTTCCCCTGGCACAAAATAGAAAAGCAGCTGTGACTGATAGTGATCATTGGCCCACCCCTTGCCCAAGCAGAATGCAGCCGGCCTGTCCCATCCACACCTTATTTATAGTTACATGCAGGACGACTAGGGATCTCTGCCGGAATATCTTTAATGACAGCCCAGTGCACGTGGTAACCCGATAGGACAGGCCAGTTTGCATCTACTTCTATGGCGGAGCAAGAGCAAAAGGACAACAACACAAGCATTCGTGAGCTACTCCCAGTGGGTTGACTTTCGTCGCGACCCAGTGCTTCGTCCACCCAGGCCATATCACAGGCACCAACCTCTCCCATCAGATTGTGCCAGAGGAGTGTGGACTAGAGCACTCTCTCACCCCTCACCACGTGAGGACTCTCAAGACAGAACCCACTTCATCACGGAAAGAAGCAGTAAAGACTGTAGGTATGGCTGGAGACAACGTACCTCAGAATCTCAGATGCTGACCCCAACCACAGATGTCTCACCATCAGTGAAAACGTGCATGTCGTTGACGGTCGATAGCATTGGAACCACCAACATTACAGTGCAAGTGCCCCTGTTGCCGAATGCCATCATCTTGCTCACATCATCATACATGCACCCAGTGTTTTGCCAATAGCCTCCTGCCGCATCCCTCTCTACCCAGGATCGGACAACGATATCGGACAGTGCGATTGCACTGACACTGCACAGGAACCAGCCCCCGTGCATTGAAGAAACAGATAGCGCTGGAGCCAAAGGAGTAAGTCTACGAACCAGCTCGGATACCAAATTGCAAGGAAAATGAGAAATGTGAATGACAGAAACCAAAGTGCATCATTCCATAGCAATCCAGATAACCGCAAACTGGAAGCGGATTGCACCAAGAGAGACACCAAATAAGCAAGAGCCAGGCACCGAAGTCAATTGACAATGAAAGCCTTCTTCTCGCCTCCAGGATCACTGTCCACAATGCCGTTCTTCCATATGGCGCTCAGCGCCCAGACTACAATCAGACAGCACCTATCAACCTAGACTCTAAAATGACGACAACCGGTCTTCATGAAGTTCAGCATCCCGATGACAATGAAGGCTCCGACTGTAGCAGCCAGCTCATCACCACCAGGTCAGCGCCACATGCATCGCACATGCCTCGACTTCCCAACACTGTCCGTCTCCCAAAGACCTCCACTCAACCTCCCAGGTTACGGTGCCAGCAGCCCGGCTATTGCCGCTGCGCTCAAGTTGCCCCCACGCAGCTTCGTCCTCGCGCCTCGCCAGCGCCCTTCCTCACTCAGCCCGACCTTCATCCAGCAAGCCAGCGCTCCAGCAGCGCTGCCGCCGTCCAACCAGCCAGAATGTGTTGAAGCGAGTGGCCTCACTTGCTTTTGTACAGTGGCTGGTTGGGCGAGGCAGGCTCTGGGCGAGGCAGGCTCTGGATGCTCGGCCTCTGTCCCAGTAGCTGCACCCAGAGCCCTTCCAGAATGTGCCAGGGATAAACTGTAAGTGCCCTGGGCCTCAGCATCTTTGCTAGGCCCAGCATCTTCAACGGATTGCCCTGGGCCTCAGCATCTTCGCTGGGCCCAGCATCTTCAACCGATTGTGCCTACTGGTTGGTTGGAGATGCTGCGTATGGCAACCAACCCACGAGGCCCCTTTCTGCTCACTTCGCTCTCAGAATAGGCCTAGTCGATTTTCCAGGGGGGCGCCTTCACTTAGGGTGGGGGCAGCGGGTGCGCGCCCTTTTCAAGGCCAAGGGCCTCATGCCTCGCATGTGCGTTATGATGTGGAGCAGTTTGTCTGACATGCCCTCTTTCTAATTCGGGTTCTTGTCTCTTTGCTTGTCGCAGGTACTTTGCCTGGGATTATCGGCTCCTGAGTAGATTCGCAAGACATTATTCGACTAACGACGTGATTCCAGAGGTCATGGTGAATGCAATTCGACAGTCGAAGCTTATGTCCTCAGCAACTGACATGCAGACTCAGGTAGAACTTCCCTTTCCGCTATCCCAACCTGTGCTGTCCTTTCATAATCTCTCTCTCTCTCTCTCTCTCTCTCTCTCTCTCTCTCTCTCTCTCTCTCTCTCTCTCTCTCTCTCTCTC